GGCGGAGCCAGGAGATTGAATATCTACCCTCGGGGCTCCTCCAGAAACAACGAAAAGCCACTACGTGTGGCCACGTGGAATGTTCGAACGCTCAATGCAGAGGAGAGGCTGCCACTCCTCTGTCGGGAGCTGGACCGGTACCGTCTGGATCTCTGTGGCATTCAGGAGGTCCGGTGGACCGGTTCTGGCTCCTGCCACCATGAGGGGTGGATAGTCCTCTACTCGGGGCAGCAGACTGCCAAACAACAGGGAGTGGCTCTTCTTTTGAACAAAAGAATGAAGGGGGCGTGGGAGCGTGGCGGTGAGGTGTGGGAAGCTGTAAGCTCCAGGCTACTTTGGGCTCGCCTTCCCATCAACCAGAGGCGAGGAGTGGTGGTCGTGGTTACTTATGCCCCCACTGAAGACGACCATCCGTGGAGGGATGCAGGCAAAGCCGATGAGTCACATGCCTTCTATGAGCTCCTGTCACAGGTGCTGGCTAAAGTGGCCCCTCGGGGATAGAGTCATCTTGTTGGGTGACTTCAATGCCCGAGTTGGTCATGATGCTGGCACCTGGTCTGGAGTGATTGGAGGGCATGGGCCGGATCAGCTCAATAACAACGGTAGGAGGCTGCTAAATTTTTGTGCAGCCCATGGGCTTGTAATTACCAACACGCTGTTCCGGCATCGGCGCATCCACACATGCCGGGTCCAAGCAAGAACATCTGCTGGACTACATAGTGACGGACCAGCGAATGCGAGCCCATGTCCTTGACACCAGGACCTACCGTGGAGCTGATCTGCCCTCTGACCATCGACTAGTCATCTGTGAGATGCGCCTGCCATTCTTCCACTCTGGTGGAGGGTGTACACCCAGGACCTGATTCCAACCTAAAGTGGCCTGGTCTCAGTTATCTGATGAAAGTTGCAAGCGAGAATTTCATCATCGCTTGCGGCTGGGATTGGCATCGTCCCCACTCCTCCTGATGTCGAGGGTAAATGGGCGAGGTTTAGGACTGTGACTCATGCAGCTGCAATGGCTGCTTTGGGTACGCGGTCCAGACCTCCCCAGAGACCCTGGCTGACAGAGGAGGTGTTCAGGATGGTTGATAAAAGCGACAGGCCCACTGTCATCGGAGAGCCGTGAGGCGCTGCAAGGATGGGTGGTGGTCGCGGGTTGCTGAGGAGATGGAGTCTGCCTCAGTGGCCCGGCGATCACAAATCTCTATTTAACTCCATCAAAAAAGTAACCTGCAGCATCACACCTATTACCATCATTAGGGGAAAAAAATGGTCATCCAATCTCCGACCCCCAGGAACAGGTTTGCAGATTTGCTGAGTATTTCTGTGAGGTCCTGGGGGAGGGGAAATCCCTCTGCCAGGAAAACATCATGGCACAAAGTGAAGATGACCCTGCTGAGGCTGCGGTGCCTCAAATATTGGAAGAAGTCACCCCCTGTGAGTGGCTGGCTGAGGTACCATCTGTTGAGGAAGTACTGAAGGCGATCCGGAGTCTGAAACCAGGAAGGCAGCGGGCAGATATGATCCCCAAGCGAAATGCTGAGGGAGGGTGGCGTTTGTGCACAGACTGCCCTATATGACATCATAACAACAGTCTGGACCACTGGACGGGTTCCGCAGGATTGGAAGGATGTCCTGGTGGTCCCCCTCTTTAAGAAGGGGGACCGCACAGACTGTAACAACTACAGGGGCATCTCACTCCTCAGTGTGCCGGGAAAGGTCCTGGCAAGGATTATTCAGCATCGCCTTGCCAGGCACGCTGAGGAGAGGCTTGCGGAGCCCCAATGCGGTTTCAGGAAAGGGCGGTCCTGCACAGATGCCATATTTTATGTCCTGCTACGGAAGAGGTATAGGGAATTCCAACAAGACCTACATCTCTGCTTTATTGACCTGGTCAAGGCCTATGATACCATCAGTAGACCTGGGCTCTGGGTTGTTTTTCGTGCTTTTGGAGTACCTGACCCTCTGCTCACGATCATTAAGGACCTTCATGATGGTGAGTGGGTCCCGGGTAAAACTACGTGGCCGGGAGTCAGAGCTATTCCCTGTACACCTTGGGGTGCGACAGGGATGTCCTCTGGCTCCCACATTATTTAACATCTATTTTGACCACGTAGTTCGTGAAGCCTTCAATAGCTGTACCGGGGGAATCTCCATTTGGTACAGATATAATGGGAGGCTGATCGATGCCCGGGTGCGGTCAAGGGATGGCTCCCTATTGCTCAACCACGTTATGTATTCCGATGATTTGGTAATAGCTGCTCAGTCAGAGGAAGAGTTGGAGACGCTGCTGCTGAGACTGGAGCGTGCCACTAAGAGATGGGGCCTTACCATCAGCCCCACCAAAACAAAGCACCTGCCTGGGTATTTTGTACCATCGAACACTCCACCCCCACAACTCCCAATCGGAGATGGGGCAGTTGTGGAGAGAGTGGAGAGTTTCCCATACCTGGGCAGTGTGCTTATGACCGGCTCCAGTTTAACAGCAGAGGTCTCACTCCGAGTCAGTCGAGCGGCAATATCTTTTCATCGGTTGCGTAACGCTGCGTGGAAGCTACCTGGTCTGTCGCTCCGCACTAAGCTTCAGGTCTTCTCGGCCATGATCATTCCCTCCCTTCTCTACGCTTGCAAAACGTGGACCCCCCTAATGGAACATCTTCACAGGTTAGAAACATTTAGGCTAGCCTGCCTACAATCCATCCTGGGTTTAACCAGGCTGGATTGTGTGAGGAGCTCACAAATCCTTGAAAGATCTGGGCAAGGTCCCATCGGTGAGCTCCTCCGGCGGGGAAGGCTCCGATGGCTGGGTCATGTAGCCCGCATGCCCAGCTACCGCATGCCGAAACAGCTTTGTTCGGCCGGATCGAGGGGGCTAAACGGGCGCGGCACGGGATAAAGAAGAGATGGAGGGATGTGGTACAGGAAGACGTGGAGCTGAGTGGACTTGCCGATGATCGGTACCAGCGGTGTCAAGATCGGCCTCTGTGGAGGAGGCTCGTGAAGGACGCTACTGGGCAGTTGGAGGCAGTCGCCCTCCAACAACAACGGAGGGCGGAGGAGCGACGCTCACAACAACGAGCGGAGCGCCGGGTGGCTAAAGCATAGCAGGTTGGCACAGTAGGGGGCACAGGTGGTGCATCAGCCAGTCATCTCAGTCAGTCGACCCGTGGCACCTGGGTCTGCCCCGTGACCTCCTGCCAGCGGGCGTTCGACACTTCACGTGGCCTCAAGGTGCACATAGCCTGGCACAAGCGTCGTGGTGACGTCACCGCCACTAAGTGGCGAATGGCGGTTGTTGTTGTTGTATGTGTGTGTGTGTGTCTGTGTGTGTCTGTGTGCGTGACTGTGTGCGTGTCTGTGTGCGTGACTGTGTATGTGACTGTGTGTGTGTGACTGTGTGTGTGTGAATGTGTGTGTGTGACTGTGTGTGTGTGACTGTGTGTGTGTGACTGTGTGTGTGTCTGTGTGTGTGTCTGTCTGTGTGTGTGTGTCTGTGTGCGTCTGTGCATGTATGTGTGCATCTGTGTGCGTGACTGTGTGCGTGACTGTGTGTGTGACTGTGTGTGTGTGACTGTGTGACTGTGTGTGTGTCTGTGTGTGTGTGACTGTGTGTGTGACTGTGTGTGTGTCTGTGTGTGACTGTGTGTGTGTGACTGTGTGTGCGTGACTGTGTGTGTGACTGTGTGTGTGTGACTGTGTGTGTGTGACTGTGTGACTGTGTGTGTGTGTCTGTGTGTGTGTGACTGTGTGTGTGTGACTGTGTGTGTGTGACTGTGTGTGTGTGTGACTGTGTGTCTGTGTGTGTGTCTGTCTGTGTGTGTGTCTGTGTGCGTCTGTGCATGTATGTGTGCATCTGTGTGTGTGACTGTCTGTGTGACTGTGTGTGACTGTGTGTGTGTGTAACTGTGTGTGTGTGTGACTGTGTGTGTGACTGTGTGTGTGTGACTGTGTGTGTGTGACTGTGTGTGTGTGACTGTGTGTGTGTGACTGTGTGTGTCTGTGTGTGTGTGTAACTGTGTGTGTGTGTGTGTGACTGTGTGTGTGACTGTGTGTGTGTGACTGTGTGTGTGACTGTGTGTGTGTGACTGTGTGTGTGTGACTGTGTGTGTGACTGTGTGTATGTGACTGTGTGTGTGTGAGTGTGTGTGTGTGACTGTGTGTGTGTGACTGTGTGTGTGTGTGACTGTGTGTGTGTGACTGTGTGTGTGTGACTGTGTGTGTGTGTGACTGTGTGTGTGTGACTGTGTGTGTGACTGTGTGTGTGTGACTGTGTGTGTGTGACTTTGTGTGTGTGACTGTGTGTGTGTGACTGTGTGTGTGTGACTGTGTGTGTGTGACTGTGTGTGTGTGTGTGACTGTGTGTGTTTGACTGTGTGTGTGTGACTGTGTGTGTGTGACTGTGTGTGTGTGACTGTGTGTGTGTGACTGTGTGTGTGTGACTGTGTGTGTGTGTGACTGTGTGTGTGTGTGACTGTGTGTGTGTGACTGTGTGTGTGTGACTGTGTGTGTGTGTGACTGTGTGTCTGTGACTGTGTGTGTGTGACTGTGTGTGTGTGACTGTGTGTGTGTGTCACTGTGTGTGTGTGACTGTGTGTGTGTGACTGTGTGTGTGTGACTGTGTGTGTGTGACTGTGTGTGTGTGTGTAACTGTGTGTGTGTGTGACTGTGTGTGTGTGACTGTGTGTGTGACTGTGTGTGTGTGTGACTGTGTGTGTGTGACTGTGTGTGTGTGACTGTGTGTGTGTGTGACTGTGTGTGTGTGTGTGTCTGTGTGTGTGTGTGACTGTGTGTGTGTGACTGTGTGTGTGTGTGACTGTGTGTGTGTGTCACTGTGTGTGTGTGTGTGTCTGTGTGTGTGTGTGACTGTGTGTGTGTGTGACTGTGTGTGTGTGTTACCTTGCCACAGTTACGGCAGTGATGTTTGCGCCGGATGACGGTGAAGGGTGAGGAACAAGCGGAGCAGCAAACACTCACACAGTCAGGAACCCACTCTGGTGGTTCTACACACACACACAGTGACACACACACAGTGACACACACACAGTGACACACACACAGTGACACACACACAGTGACACACACACACACACACAGTGACACACACACACACACAGTGACACACACAGTGACACACACACAGTGACAACAACACAACAACAACCGCCATTCGCCACTAAGTGGCGGTGACGTCACCACGACGCTTGTGCCAGGCTATGTGCACCCTGAGGCCACGTGAAGTGTCGAACGCCCGCTGGCAGGATGTCACAGGGCAGACCCAGGTGCCACGGGTCAACTGACTGAGATGACTGAGATGACTGGCTGATGCACCACCTGTGCCCCCTACTGTGCCAACCTGCTGTGCTTTAGCCACCCGGTACTCCGCTCGTTGTTGTGAGCGTCGCTCCTCCGCCCTCCGTTGTTGTTGGAGGGCGACTACCTCCAACTGCCCAGTAGCATCCTTCACGAGCCTCCTCCACAGAGGTCGATCTTGACACCGCTGGTACCAGTCATCGGCAAGTCCACTCAGCTCCACGTCCTCCTGTACCACGTCACTCCATCTCTTCTCTAGCCCGTGCCGCGCCCGTTTAGCCCCCTTGATCCGGCCGAACAAAAGCTGTTTCGACATGCGGTGGCTGGGCATGCGGGCTACATGACCCAGCCATCGCAGCCTTGCCTGCCGGAGGAGCTCACCGATGGGACCCTGCCCAGATCTTTCAAGGATTTGTGAGCTCCTCACACAATCCAGCCTGGTTAAACCCAGGTTGGATCGTAGGCAGGCTAGCCTAAATGTTTCTAACCGGCGAAGATGTTCCATTAAGGGGGTCCACGTTTCGCAAGTGTAGAGAAGGGAGGGAATGACCGTGGCTGAGAAGACCTGAAGCTTAGTGCGGAGCGACAGACCAGGTAGCTTCCACATAGCGCTACGCAACCGATGAAAAGATATTGCTGCTCGACTGATTCGGAGTGAGACCTCTGCTGTTAAACTGGAGCCGGTCATAAGCACACTGCCCAGGTATGGGAAACTCTCCACTCTCTCCACAACTGCCCCATCACCGATTGGGAGTTGTGGGGGCGGAGTGTCTGATGGTACAAAATACCCAGGCAGGTGCTTAGTTTTGGTGGGGCTGATGGTAAGGCCCCATCTCTTAGTGGCACGCTCCAGTCTCAGCAGCAGCGTCTCCAACTCCTCCTCTGAATGAGCAGCTATTACCAAATCATCGGCATACATAACGTGGTTGAGCAATAGGGAGCCATCCCTTGACCGCACCCGGGCATCAATCATCCTCCCATTATATCTGTACCATATGGAGATTCCCCCGGTACAGCTATTGAAGGCTTCACTAACTACGTGGTCAAAATAGATGTTAAATAATGTGGGAGCCAGAGGACATCCCTGTCGCACCCCAAGGTGAACAGGGAATGGCTCTGACTCCCGGCCACGTAGTTTTACCCGGGCCCGCTCACCATCATGAAGGTCCTTAATGATCGTGAGCAGAGGGTCAGGTACTCCAAAAGCACGAAGAACAACCCAGAGCCCAGACCTATTGATGGTATCATAGGCCTTGACCAGGTCAATAAAGCAGAGATGTAGGTCTTGCTGGAATTCCCTACACCTCTGCTGTAGCAAAGGGACAGAAAATATGGCATCTGTGCAGGACCGCCCTTTCCTGAAACCGCATTGGGGCTCCGCAAGCCTCTCCTCAGCGTGCCTGGCAAGGCGATGTTGAATAATCCTTTCCAGGACCTTTCCCGGCACACTGAGGAGTGAGATGCCCCTGTAGTTGTTACAGTCTGTGCGGTCCCCCTTCTTAAAGAGGGGGACCACCAGGGCATCCTTCCAATCCTGCGGAACCCGTCCAGTGGTTCAGACTGTTGTTATGATGTCATATTGGGCAGTCTGTGCACAAACGCCACCATCCCTCGGCATTTCGCTTGGGAGATCATCTCTGCCCAGTGCCTTTCATGGTCTCAGACTCCGGATCACCTTCAATACTTCCTCAGCAGATGGCACCTCAGCCAGCCAATTACACACAGTGACACAAACACAGTGACACACACACAGTGACACACGCACAGTGACACACATAGTGTACACACACAGTATACACAGTGTTACACACAGTATACACAGTGTTACACACAGTGACAGTGTACACACAGTGTACACACAGTGTGTACACTGTGTGTACACACTGTGTACACACTGTTACATACACAGTATACACAGTGTACACACACACACAGTGTACACAGTGAGAGTGTGAGACCTGTGACACACACACACACAGATAGTTATATATATACAGTGACAGTGAGAGACCTGTGATACACACAGTGATACACACAGTGAGAGTGTGAGACCTGTGACACACACACACACAGTGACAGTGAGTGTGAGACCTGTGATACACACTGACACAGTGTATACACAGTGTACACACACACAGTACACACACACACACACAGTGACACACACAGTGATACACACACACAGTGACAGTGAGTGTGAGACCTGTGATACACACTGACACAGTGTATACACAGTGTATACACACACAGTACACACACACACACACAGTGTACACACACACAGTGTGCACACACACAGTGTACACACACACAGTATACACACAGTGTACACACACACAGTGTACACACACACAGTGTACACACACAGTGTACACACACACAGTGTACACACACAGTGTACACACACACAGTGTATACACAGTGTGTGTGTGTACACAGTGTGTATATACACACACACACACAGTGTACACAGTGTGTGTGTGTATGTACACAGTGTGTATACACACACACAGTGTACACAGTATACACAGTGTACACACTGACACAGTGTACACACACACACAGTGTACACACACACAGTGTACACACACACAGTGACACACACACACAGTGATACACACACACAGTGTACACACACACACAGTGTACACATACACACACAGTGTACACACACACACACAGTGTACACACACACAGTGTACACACACACAGTGACACACACACACACAGATAGTTATATATGTACACTGTGTGTGTATACACTGTGTACACACACACTCAGTGTACACACACTGTGTACACACACACACTGTGATACACACAGTGTGTGTGTGTGAGTGACCTGTGATACACACAGTGTGTGTGTGTGAGTGACCTGTGATACACACAGTGTGTGTGTGAGTGACCTGTGATACACACAGTGTGTGTGTGTGTGAGTGACCTGTGTTACACACAGTGTGTGTGTGAGTGACCTGTGATACACACAGTGTGTGTGTGTGAGTGACCTGTGTTACACACAGTGTGTGTGTGTGTGAGTGACCTGTGATACACACAGTGTGTGTGTGTGAGTGACCTGTGATACACACAGTGTGTGTGTGTGAGTGACCTGTGATACACACAGTGTGTGTGTGAGTGACCTGTGATACACACAGTGTGTGTGTGTGTGAGTGACCTGTGTTACACACAGTGTGTGTGTGTGTGAGTGACCTGTGATACACACAGTGTGTGTGTGAGTGACCTGTGATACACACAGTGTGTGTGTGTGTGAGTGACCTGTGATACACACAGTGTGTGTGTGTGAGTGACCTGTGATACACACAGTGTGTGTGTGAGTGACCTGTGATACACACAGTGTGTGTGTGTGTGAGTGACCTGTGATACACACAGTGTGTGTGTGTGAGTGACCTGTGATACACACAGTGTGTGTGTGAGTGACCTGTGATACACACAGTGTGTGTGTGTGTGAGTGACCTGTGATACACACAGTGTGTGTGTGTGAGTGACCTGTGATACACACAGTGTGTGTGTGTGAGTGACCTGTGATACACACAGTGTGTGTGTGTGTGAGTGACCTGTGATACACACAGTGTGTGTGTGTGAGTGACCTGTGATACACACAGTGTGTGTGTGTGTGAGTGACCTGTGATACACACAGTGTGTGTGTGAGTGACCTGTGATACACACAGTGTGTGTGAGTGACCTGTGATACACACAGTGTGTGTGTGTGAGTGACCTGTGATACACACAGTGTGTGTGTGTGTGTGACCTGTGATACACACAGTGTGTGTGTGTGTGAGTGACCTGTGATACACACAGTGTGTGTGTGTGAGTGACCTGTGATACACACACACACAGTGTGTGTGTGAGTGACCTGTGATACACACAGTGTGTGTGTGTGTGAGTGACCTGTGATACACACAGTGTGTGTGTGTGAGTGACCTGTGATACACACAGTGTGTGTGTGTGAGTGACCTGTGATACACACAGTGTGTGTGTGTGTGAGTGACCTGTGATACACACAGTGTGTGTGTGTGAGTGACCTGTGATACACACAGTGTGTGTGTGTGTGAGTGACCTGTGATACACACAGTGTGTGTGTGTGTGAGTGACCTGTGATACACACAGTGTGTGTGTGTGAGTGACCTGTGATACACACAGTGTGTGTGTGTGAGTGACCTGTGATACACACAGTGTGTGTGTGTGTGTGAGTGACCTGTGATACACACAGTGTGTGTGTGTGTGAGTGACCTGTGATACACACAGTGTGTGTGTGTGTGAGTGACCTGTGATACACACAGTGTGTGTGTGTGTGAGTGACCTGTGATACACACAGTGTGTGTGTGTGTGAGTGACCTGTGATACACACAGTGTGTGTGTGTGTGAGTGACCTGTGATACACACAGTGTGTGTGTGTGTGAGTGACCTGTGATACACACAGTGTGTGTGTGTGTGAGTGACCTGTGATACACACAGTGTGTGTGTGTGTGAGTGACCTGTGATACACACAGTGTGTGTGTGTGTGAGTGACCTGTGATACACACAGTGTGTGTGTGTGTGAGTGACCTGTGATACACACAGTGTGTGTGTGTGTGAGTGACCTGTGATACACACAGTGTGTGTGTGTGAGTGACCTGTGATACACACAGTGTGTGTGTGTGTGACCTGTGATACACACAGTGTGTGTGTGTGT